AGCACAAGGCAGAGTGGAAAGGAGGAGAACCAGGGACGATCCTGTGTGTGGGTGTGCGGGGCTGGGGATTCCCAGAAACTCCCTGCAGCGCGAGGCACTGAGTACACTCATACACGCAGACCTAGCAGGGTTTTTTTTCACAAGCCATCCAGATGTGGATGCAGCAGGCAGCTGGCAGGAATTGGTGTAAAAATAAGAGAAAGAAGAGCAGCAAATGTCTGCCTGCAACTTCTGCTTTCTCTGCTGTCACAGAAGTCTCCTCTTCCATCGACCCCCTCCTCTCTGTCCACTTGGGAAGTCTCGGAGAGTGCAACACCCTCACGATCCAGCTGTATGGGTGGTTTTCTAAAATCCCGGAAGGGGAAAAAATAAACAAGACAAAGAAAGAGAGGAAATCCCCCTTGGAAAAACCTAATGCATTACTAGCTCTTGGAAAGTTTTTGCTTTATTTCCTTCAGTTGTGTGTGAATGTGAGAAACAAGAGATAAAGAGAGGAAGAGAGGACAACCCGGAAAGAAAGAAGGAAAGAAAAAAGGGAGAAAGAGAGAAAAAGGGAGGGAGGGAGGGAAAGGAAGGAAGGAAAAGAAAGAACGTTCTGGAAGTGACTCAGCTGTTGATCGGTTTGCAGTTCTGCTGCCATGACCCTGCTCTTTGGTGAGGGGGAAGAGAAATGGAGATAATGACAATTTAAATACAAAATCTTGAGGCAACCACTTTCCGATCCCCCTTCTGTCTCTCTTAGACAGAAGCTTTCTCTACCTCAATAAGTTTGCCCTACTCAACCTCCGTTGTTCCTAGAATTCGTTCCTCGATTTTAGAGAACATGATCTCGCGTTTTGGATATCTGGCAGGCTTGTTGATCTGTTGATCGGCGCTGGTTGTGCCCTCTACCCCCTGGGCTGGGACAGTGAGGAAGTTCGGCAGACTCGTGGCTACTTTTCTGGCCAGGTTGACCTGGGTAAGTGTGAAATCGGCTGGGCCTACTCCTGCGCGGGAGCAGGTGCGGCTGCCGCCGTGCTGCTGTGCACATGGCTGACTTGCTTCTCAGGCAAGAAACAGAAGCGCTACCCCTACTGAGATGGAGCCACGAGCAACAAACAGAGAAGTCAGGGCACAGGGCTTGAAGGAGCCAAAGCATCCCGCCACTTTCAAAAGGTGGAATAGTGGTTCGAATCCAATACAATGCAAAGGAAATGCGACCCAATGGAATCAGGAACAAAAATAGGAAGGAAAGGTTGTAGAAGATTTGTGGGGGAAAAAAATGGAGAGAATGAGATGATGGAGAAAAATGGACTAAAGTTTACAAATATTGCAGAGTGCTGGGTAATCCTATTCCACGGATTATTGTTAGTGTATATCACACACACTCACATACAAAGCAGTCTATATATGCAAACAAGGATTTTTGCTATGTTTTGTTTTTTAAAGGTGAAGACGAGGGAGACTCAAAAGGGCTAGTAGAAACAACGTCAAGTGGGAAACAGCCCCCCGCAACGTGCCCTTTAGGAGATGACACGCCAGAAACCCCATGCGCGCAAGCGCGCATCTGTGCACACACCCCTCCCCCACACGCCTAGATTGTCACAAGGACCACAATGGAAGATTAGCAGTGCAGTACTCCTCGTTGAGAACACAGTATTATCACTTTATAAAGCATCCATTATAAACCTAAGAAATGGACCAATAAGCCACTCTATCCATATTTTGTGTATCCTGCATAAACTTCATATCCTGGTCAGGTTTTCAGTGTTTATACAGGCACTTAGAATTAAGCCTTCATACTTCAAAATTATTCAAAGATACAATATTTCTCTGAGTAGCTTCTCCTATAATGTTTTTATGGAAAGGGACAACTTTTTGTCCACTGGAGGAGAGAATTCAGTCAAAGATGTGAGAAAAATGAGAGTCATTTTCCAGTCATTAGATCTTGCTTTCTTTTGACCATTATTATAATGTGCTGTACCACATTTATTTTAAGATTCATTTTGTGAAAATGATAAGTGCTATTTTGTTTGTATTTGAAAAGCTCTGTGAATAAATTCTTTGATCAAAAAATTAAAAAATATAAAATATTTTTTAATAAATTCACGTTTTCTTCTAATTTGCAAATGAAATATTCAGGAGTCATTTGTATATATTCATTACTAATTTTCCAAAATTAATAAGACTAGGGCCAGGGATTTAGCTCAGTGGTTTCGTTGCCTGCCTCACAAGCTCAGACCTGAGTTTGATCCCCGGCACCAAAAAAAAAAAAAATTAATAAGGCTAGCTGTATTATGATAATCCAATTAAATACTTAAAGGTTATTTTGGAAAATGCACTATAAAGTGCTAAAGGAGTTAGCATTCACTGAGTGCCAGTTATATATCAGTTACTACATGTCCTTCTTATATAAGAGCTTATTTAAATCTCGTAGGAACCCTGCAAAAGATATATTAACCCATATTTTACACACAAGTAAACTGAAGTTCACTGAGATAAAGCAACAGGTTTCGGATCAAAAGCTAATTTGAGTGGGCGTGGTGGCCCATGCCTGTAATCCCAGCCTTGAGAGGCTGAGGTAGAATCACCGAAAGTCTGAGGCCAGCCTGGGCTACAGTGAAACCCTAACTCAAAAAGTCAACAACAAAAAAAGCTAATTCTGCTGGGGATTTAGCTCAGTGGCACCGTGCCTGCCTTGCAAGCACAAGGTCCTGAGTTCAATCCCCGGTACAAAAAAAAAAAAAAAAACAGCTAATTCTGAAATTCCGAACTCAAATCTGTGCTCTTTCCAATACCATACTCTCTTCCTCTAATAAAGTATCACTAGCTGGGGATTTAGCTCAGTGGTTCAGTGGTCTGCCTCGCAAGCACAAGGACCCAAGTTCGATCCCCAGTACCAAAACTAAATAAAGTATCACCATTATGATTATCAATGTGCTTCTCGAGTTGGAAGTGCTATTCTTCAAGTTGTACCTATGAATTCAATAGAGTAACTGCTATGTTTTGTGTTTGTAACAGAGCTTTTGTAAAACAGCTTATTTTCAAAGAATACATATATTCATTCACTCAACAAACCTTACCATATGTCAATGGTCTGCCCAAACTCATTTCTTATTCAGAAAATGTCGTCACAAGAAGGAAATCTTTTTAAGAAAGTCTGAAAGAAATTGTTTCTTTTTGTGGAGCATAAAAGAAAGTGTTGTGAAGGTGCAAAATTTTGAATAATGAATAGTTTTTTTCTGGCAGAAGGAAGTGGAATAAAGAGGTATGTGGTATTTCTCAGAAAGGTAAATATCAATATTCAGGGGGAAAATAAGGAGAGGACATTAGACAAGCATGTGCTGGCGTGTAGTACTAGACAGAACCTGAGCAGACTCAATGGCACAGCAAGAATGAATATGGGAGTGCACCACTGCCCCATTGCAATTCCTTTTTTATTATTATTAATTTTATTGGTACATTTAGAGTATACATTATAATGACATTCATCACTGGAAATTTGCACCTTTACATAATCCACCTTGGTTGGAATTGCTTTTAGACATAAGGGTAAAACAGGGAGGACTGACATTCCTGGTCTTCATTTCCTCCAACTCAAGCCAAAAAGGAGGGAACAAAACCAAAAACCCACATTTCTGGGATCTTTTGACCTAAAGGATTCCTACAGGTACACAGACCACCAAAATTTAGGCACGGAGAGAAATACGTATGCAATACAATGCCCTTAATCTTGTACAAAGTGAGCCTAAGCCAAGCCAGTCTCATCCCTGCTCTTGCTTAAAGGTTAAACAGCTTTGGTGGTTTATCGTAGCAGTAAAAGAAAAATCCAGAGCTAAAACTACAAATGATCCAAAATCTTAGAATATATTTGAACTTATTGCTTTGTATCTGCCTAATTAAATGCAAAAAGTATGGTGCTACAAGTCATGTCTCACTATTCTTCTCACACTTTTTATTTTTCTTGGCTTTTGCATTATACTCCTGGATAATTTCTTTTAATCATTAAGCTTGTATTCAGTCTTCTCTTTGCCTATATTACTATTCAGTTTATCTACTGAGTTTTTATTTCAGTAATTATATTGTGATCATCATTCATTGGTTCTCTTTCATCTGTTCTTATTTCAAGGTTGCAATCCACTTTTTTTTTTTTTTTTTGAGACAAGGTCTTACTATGTAACCCAGGCTGGCCTGGAATTTGCAGTGATCCTTCTGCCTCCCAAGTGCTGGGATCATAGGTGTGTTCCACCACACCCAGTTGTGTATATTTATTTTTATTGATTCTATCCTCTTAAGAGCACCTGATGACAAGCTATACTAGATAAGATAGATACTCTTTCAGAGAGGACTTCTGAAAAGTATCTTGAAATAATTGAGGAAAAAAAACTGTTCTAGACCCTCAAAAAGTATCTTCCAGTTTTCAGGATAAAATCGCTCTTTAGTTTTTGGTGCAGGTTGGCTGATGCCTCCCTTCCAGTCTCCTCTCCTGCCACTCCGACTATCCTCATTTTATCCAGCTCTAATGGAGAACTGGTTGTTCCCCAAGAGAGATCTGTTTCAGTCTACCAACCTCCATACAAGTGTTTCTCTTTTCTTGGAACATTTTGGCCCCAGCAAGTTTATCTCACCAAATACAGCTTAACGATAATACTTTGTTTACAGATGGCATTTATCACTATAAGCCACTGTGTTCCGTGTCAGTATCTGCTATATTATCTTCCTTTTCAAGGGTGCCACAGTAGTGAGTTACGCGCCAGCCTCTTCCTCCGTCCTGAGGTCATCAGCGTCTGGAGCGCTGACTGTGCAGTGAAGCTTATTGCATAGGCAGAAAGGCTTCTTTCAGAACCCAGCCCAGTTCCCCTCTGCCAGAGATAACATGCTGACTTTTTTAATGACTTATGCACAGGTTAACAGACTCGGGCCGTAGTCTAGACTGTGACAAATATGACCCTGAGTAGCCAGTTTAATTTCTCTTCTTGAGGCCTCTACTTCTGAGTCTGCAGAATGAGGATGTCAGAGAGGCTCCCTTTGTTTCTCTCCAGTTTCCGTGATGTTCATTTAGCTCCAAGTTGCACTTTTCTGATTTCTTCTGGCTTTCCAATGCAAAAAGATAAGAAAAAATAAATTTCTAGAGTAATTTTATTTTACTCTGTACACCGTCATTTAAAATAATTAGATATTGATGAGCAAATGTCTGTCTTCCTCATGAGTGAAATTCTTTTTTGGTACTGGGGATCAAACTCCAGTCCTTGCACTTGTAAGGCAGGCAGTAGAACCACTGAGCTAAATCCCCAGCTCTTCCTTCTCACTCTTTACACTGCTGCACAGTACGTCCTGATAAGGCCAGGCCATCCTTTATTTAGTCATTTCTTTGTGTCCTTATGATTGCTATAGACAATGTGAGAGTGAACAGATTGAAAGTAGTATATTTTCTAATGTATCTCTACTTACGGTGACTTCTGTGCTCTCTTCCTTGTCCCCACCATAAATCGACTAAGCAAAAGTTTTTTAAAAGGCCCCCAGAATATACAGACATTCATAAAGTCTCTTGAGATGGAGAATAGAAAATGATGACAAAATGTTTTCATTTGAATGCCACAAGTTATTTGAAAACTGCAACTCCAAGGTAAATGAGCATTAAATATGAGCACTGGCCAGTCTTGAAAGGACTGGGGCTGACATGCATGGTGCTGAGCACTAGAGGAGCCTTAGGATTCCTGAGAGAACCTGGAATCTCACAGCAAGATGAGCCTCTCCCTTTGCCTAGTCACTGCAGCCATTAAGTCATCAGACAACAAAGAATGCCTTAACTATGGGTCTCTGAAGAGCATTCATGTGATCAGTGACCACAGAGTAAGGAGCCTGGAAGCTTCTCTGCAGGAGGAAGGCTGCTGCTACTGAGGCTGCTGAGGGAGCTCAGTGACTTCCCTGTCTTAAAGAGTTGACCACACTAAGAGAGAAGTGCTGGGCAAGTGGACGGCAAGTCCATAACAACAAAATAGCAAAAGGAAGAATACAAAGACCAGTAGGATCGAAAGCATTGGGTGAGTCCAGGAATACTGGTGAACTGATCCTGGCAGTTTATTGCTTTTATTGTCTTTATTCCCACCCAAGTCCATATGGAGCTGCTAACATGGGTGGGGCATTCTTGTATTGTAATTCCATGTCCTTACTGGCAATGTGAAAGACACACTGTAATGACATATTTTGTAACTTACTGACATCCACCCTTTTCCTTGTCTTTCCAACATTGCAAAAATGTGTTTAACAGAAGATATAATATATACTTTATTTTTCATCCTGTACTTCATAGAATTGCATCTTCCCCCCATGTCTTGCTATACAAATCTAGTCTTTGTGTATATCACACATATGCTCTCTTAAAACTTGTTTCCTGTCCCTCTTTCTTCCTTCTGTCTCTATCCATCAGACACTTCTCCACTCCTCTTTCTTGCTAGCTGAGACTGAACACATCAAAAGGATTGAAAATACCTCTTCTCATTCTAACAAACGTTTGAAATTCTACTTTGGAGTCTTTAAATGTGTACAACATTGACATGACTAAGCCTTCGCACCAGATTAAGAGATCCTGAGTGTTTGTTCTGGGCAATCCTGCCCCATTCGGATGTGGAGTTCTCCCTACTATGCGCCTTCAGATAGCTAGTAGCATGGAGGCTTGTGGGCACTGGAACTTTGTAGAAAGCAGCCAAAAGAGGAGCTGCATCCACAGAAAGCAGTCTTGCTGTATTCGAAGCTAGCAATGGCAGGAGTAAGAGAAATGACTGCCAACTTGACCCATGGATCTAGAGATTGGCGGACAGGGCATTCATTCACGAAGGAAGAGTATTTAATTGTAAAGTCTGTGATCTCGTAAAAGGATGTTTTATCAGATCCTCATGAGACACGTTCTGGAACATGCCCTTAGAAATGATCAAGGGACATTTCTTTGGCAACTAGCAGGATAAGTTCTTGGGCAATATTCTTTTTGCTATTCTTCTCATTCTTCCTTCCCTGGATTACTTGCCTGCATCTTTTTCATATAAAAACTTCATTCCTTCTTTTCTTCCACATCAGGATTGAACACCCCTCAGAACTAGAGCCCACATGATTAGGCAGTGTTTCCCATTTCCTTGATGGTAGAGAGGACAAGTTTTCAAACACTGGACAGAAGTAGGGCAAACATTTATTCTATATGGAAGCTGGGGGTGGACCCTCCATGCTAGGCTGGGTTAACTCATCCAATCAACTTATTAAATTTCATGTTAAAACAAGGCCAGCATTCACACCCTGTGATACTTGGAGCTTCATTAAAATACAAATTAACACAGAAGCGTGTCTATTAGTTCTGTGGCCTTTGCAAAGATTAATTGCAAATGCCTTCCTGAGAGTAATTTTTGATAAATGAGCACTAGGGAGAAATTAGATTCTGAGAAACATACAGAAGAGGTATGGTCAGAGAATGTGAGCAGGCAACAGGGAAGGAGATGGCAGTTTTGCTGTAATCATGTGCAAGTAAAGTTACATTTACTTCTTAAACCACAGACTTAAAGTACTCATCTAATTTCCCTTTCCAGAAAAATACCATAGTCTGCTCCTCCCAACTAACTCTTCATCCCTCTCTCAGTGACCATGCCTGTCTTCTCTGTTGTCACACCCACATGGTCTAGACTGTATCCTTCTTTATGCACCAAATTTAAACTCACTAACCTAACCAGTGAACTTTTTCCTTCATCTCTCATTTGCTTTGGGCCCAAAATAGAGGCTTCAGACCCTGGTAACTGCATGCATGTCTCAGTGAGCATCCAGTATTTCTGAACCTTCAGCCTACATCCCTACAATTGCCCTTTCAAGGAGAGATAAAACCAGGACTAGCCTGTGATGTTCAAAACAAAGCTGTCTAGGGGATTTAAAGCTAACTTCCAAGGCAGGTGTGACATACACCTGTTACCTCAGCACCAGGGAGGCCGAGGCAAGAAGATCATGAGCTCCAGACAGCCTGGGCTACATAGTAAGTTTAAATTCAGCCTGGAATACAAAGTGAGGCCCTGTGTCAAAGAAAAAAAAGAAGAGCTAACTTCAAACCAGAGCATGTCTAGAAAATTGCCTCCCCACCTTCCCCCAGACAGCGTCTCTCTATGTAGTGTAGGCTGGCCTTAAACTTGCTATGTAGCTCAGGCTTGCCTTAAATTCATGATTTCATGATTCTCCTCCCTGGAGGGACTAAGAAAGGATAGGAGAAATGAATACTATGATCCAAGGAAACTAAACATTTTAACACCAAGAGTAGAGAAGCTAAACAAGAATAGGGGAAGTAAAAATTATTAAAATGTGATAGATATAAGTACTAATTCCCCAAGGTGAATGTAACTACTGTATTGTGTGTCACAAATACATACTCTTAAAAGCAAATATTAAAGAATGATAAAAAAATTTTTAAAGACTGACCAATAAGAAAGAGAAATACTATCCATCAATACATGGATATGTGGCTATCGCTCAACAACAGAAACCACCATTAGCATCAGCAGCAGTGGGAATATTATCAGACATATTAAAACAAGCACCTCACGTTTTTATACAGGAAAGTTTGGGACAATGAAGGAATGGCAACTTTACTATGACCATTATTGCCTACTATTTTGATCATTTTCAAAGTGAAAGTGATCTAGGGAAACCACAGCCATGTTTTTGTTACCTTAACTCTCACCTGTCCTCCTTTCTCCCAGCACTGCAAAGATGGTGACTCATGGAGATCTGTGCCAAAACGGGATTTGCCACAGCTGCCCAAATGTCCTAAGGCTCTCAAATTTCAGGGAAGCCAATATAGTTATTTACCTGCTGATGACAACAAGCCAAAGTTTTTAAAAGACTTTACTCCAAGTCAAATGCAGACAGAGAATAAGGATGTCCTATGTTGCCAAACTATACACACTTTGTTTTAAAAAATCTCTACACAGGGTCAGCAATGCTTAGGGAAAACTAGTATAAAATTATCAGAGTCAAGTTAAAGATTAGTGCTTAATCCCAAACCCTAAACCCCCTAATTGAGAATGCAAATAAGACATTTGGGATTTCTCTTAAAATTCCTACTGCGGTTTGGCTTTCTTTTAATCATTGCTTGAATCTGCACCAAATTACACACACTTTCTAATAGGGAAGTGCTTTTGACCGATAGAATAAAAGAACTCCTTTCTGAGTATGTGGATTTTAAAACATAGATGATCACCTTATATCCCCGCTTCGGGTTGCCAATGCAAATGACTCAGAGGAGTTGCTCAGACACTGAGCTAATTGTGTAATTCTACAACAGAAAGCGCCATTGGAGAATACAGGCTGACCTCACAATTGAAAAAAACTATTTAAGAAAGATATGGAAACCAGATGTTTCAGTCACATTTCAGCCACTGCTTTGAGAATTTATCAGGAGGAACCCTGACAGCCATTAACTTCTCTGCAGCTGAAGATATGATCATCTTAACTTATTTATTTCTCTTGCTGTGGGAGGAGGCTCAAGGATGGGGATTCAAGGATGGAATTTTTCACAACTCCATATGGCTTGGTAAGAAACTTCACTCATGGGCTTCTTCTTGGGAATGTCAATTCTTTAAAAACATGGAAGAGTGGGTCACAGCCGTAAAAATCTCTAATCTGCAGAAGGCTGATGTTTTCAAAGAGAATGCTTAGGAAAGATAGCCATTGAAATGCCATTTCGTTTTTTTAAAGTGCTCTTGCTTTCTAAAATTTAAAAATATATTTTAATAAAATGAGTTGTTCAATAGAAAATAGCAGTTAAGATCTATATATATAATGAATATGTATTTTTTAAATCTTCTAAGTACATTTAATAGGGTGGTGAAAAGTGTTTCTTTAACAAACTGAAAACACCAATATATTAGCTGCTTTTTATTTCAATTGAATCCACAAGTAGATTTCAGAGAAATTGAGATGTACAAAACTTTTACAGTGACTGATTCATGTACTCTGAGCTGTAGTGTGTGTTAGTTTTTCCAAACATCCTTTGATTATTTTGACAGAGCCAGAAAAAAAATGAAAGACATTTCTACTTTTGAATGCAATCTTATCACTATCTTTTTGTTGTGCTATCCATATAAATACTTTTCTAACACAATTGTTAGACAAGGTAAGTTTCTTTTGTTGTTTTGTTTAGTTAAATGTAAAGAATGATATAGGCCAGGGCCTCGCAAGAGCAAGGTTCCCACTTCCCCGGTACCAAAAAAAAAAAGATGTAGGGCAAATTGTGAAGATAAACAATAGACCCCCCCAAAAAAAAAACAACCCTCAATACAGAAAATACAAAACACCCCTTATAGTGCTCAACGATACTTTAAGTCTTAAAATATGAATTATGTTGTTTTATGTTCATTGTCATGTTTAATAGAGAAAAAAATAAATTAGTGAAAATCTATAGATTCCTCTACAGAATAAAGAAATAAAGACAAAGCAAAATAAACTACATATTGGTTTTATGCTTGTTAAATAGCACATGGATGTAGACTATTTTCCCTTTCTGCATGTTTCTTTCTGGTAATAACTGCAACCGTGCGTATTTCATTAAAAAGCTGGATTCGTACTGCATAGCCTTGCCACCTTTTTTTTTTTTTTCTTTTTCCCAGCTTGAGCTAGTAAAGTAGTTTCAGTGAGATTCATTTGGTCAAGATGAGATCTGGAATTTAGTGAAAGAATGAACAGATCTCTTCTTATTTTCACTGCACACAGACTGAGGAAATGTACACATCTTAGTAAGAAATGAAAAAAAGGAAGGCATAATGCCAGTAAGAATCCAACCCATATGGATAAACTTTAAAATGATACCAAACTCTCTAGTGAGCAAGTAATTTCAAGTTGTCGTTTTAAGTGAAGTGGTAGGTTACAAAAATATAAACCTGGACAATAGAAGTTCTGACCCAGAGACAGAAATACTATGCTGCAAATCTGAGACTCAGGAGAATTGCAGAGTACTCGGATGTAGGACAGATTATTGACCAGTCAGCCTAACACAGATTACTTACAGTTGGGTCCACATGGGAGGAAACAGAATTAGATTAGAAGGCAAGAATCTGTTAGCATCTATACTGAACATGATACTTTAACTCTGTGTTCCCTAGTTCCTTAAATGGTAATGTAAAGCAGAACAAAAGAGAAACACACTGAGCTGGAGATTTAGCTCAGCGGTTCGGTGGCCTGCCTTACAAGTGCAAGGACCCGAGTTCAAAGAGAAGCACACTAAAGAGAAAAAGATTTTGATGAGTTTTACATGGGTCATGAAAATTAAAAGAATACAGATAACTTTTTTTTTTTTTTTTTTTTTTTTTTTGGCCATTGTATTGAATCTGGAAAACAAGGAAAAGTAACATACCCTGAGGCCCAGAAGCTCTCATTACTCCCATTTGATAGATAAAGAAACTGAGGCTCGGGAGGGGAGGTGATTTATACAAGGTTGTGGGGCTCCTCCGGGGTAGAACTAGCAGCAGAGGTCAAAGCCAACATTCTTCTGTGTTCACTTGCTGAAAGAAAAAACAAAATTAATCATATTTTTCAGTTTTAAAAAATAAGATTATTGACTAGGAAATTAATAAAATAATATTTTTTTGAAAGGTAAAACTTTTAAAATTAAAATTTTTCTGGCTAGGGTGGCCCAGGCCTACAGTCTCTGCTGTTCAGGAGGCTAAGGCAGGAGATGACTTGAGTCCCCAAGTTCAACATCAGGCTGGGCAGCACAACAAACAAATAAATAAATGGATGGATGAGTAAGTAAATAAATAAACTTAGGATTTATTTTTTTAAAGGTCCATTTTAATGGCTTAAAATTCTGAATTGAAGAATAATTTAAAATAAATGTGTTGGGCTGGGGATTTAGCTCAGTGGTTCCGCAACCTGCCTCTCAAGGGCAAGGACCCGAGTTCGATCCCTGGTACCATAAATAAATAAAAATAAAAATAGAAATGTCTTGCTTAGGCATCTGAGGCAGGAAGATTACCACTACTTCAAGGTCTGCCTGGGCTACATAGTGAGTTCAAGTCTGGCCTGAACTATAGGGCCTCAAAAATAAACCAAAAATAAATAAATAAATGCCTTGCCTAAAACAGTCAAGTACAATCACTTCTCAGCCTTTGGGCTAAGATCAAGTATAAAACTGTCAAGTATACATGTCAAGAGTTCTCAACTTATTCATAAGGCAAGATGCTGTTGAGTTTGTTGCTCTGTGAGAAATAATATGGAATATTAATATTGAACAAATTATTAAGAATGATAGCACATAAATGTTTGCTGTTTCTATTGCCATCTTATTTCTTGACAAGTATTAGCAAGTGCCATTTTTTTTTAATTACTGGGAGGATATTTTTAAATTATTTTCTAAAAACCTCTCTCTTCATTAATTCCCACAAATATAATATTTCAACTTGTAGGCCAGGCATAGTGGTACATGCCTGTAATCCCAGCACTCAGGAGAATTTCTGAGAGTTTGAGTCTAGCCTGGGCTACAAAGCGAGCTTAAGGATAGACTGAACTTTCTAAAGACCCTTTCTAAAGAAAAAAGTTGGAAGTAAAATACCAAGGAAATTTATTTGAGGACACTTTGGCATACATTAAAATAATCCCTACATGTATTTTCAAATAAAGATACTTACATTATATTCTTATGAAACAGGTACAATTGTTAACATTTTTTTAATTGTCTTTTATTACAGTACATGAGCGAGTCAGTCCTACCTCCTTTTTACCAAAAATCATTTGTGTTTAATTCAAGATAAAGATACATATTTTGCCCACTAGTATCCAAGTTATATGGGAACAGGGCCCAGTTCATGGAGCCTAGCAAAATGTATATGCTCATGGTATATGCTCAAAATACCCAAGTTGGAACCTGGTGTGGTGGCACACACACCTGTAATTCCAGCACCTGGGAGGCTGAGGCAAGAGGATCACAAGTTCAAGCCTAGCCTGCATAACTTAACAACTCAGTGAGACCTTATTTCAAAATATAAAATAAAGAAAAATATATATATATAAAATAAAAATTGGTCTGTGTATGGAGCAATGTACAAGGTACCTGGGTTCAGTCCTTAGTACTGAAAACAACACGCACGAGCACACACACACACACACACACACACAGAAACTGGAAGATAGTAAAGGCTTTGCCATATGAAAGCCACTTTGAAAACAGGCAGTCTTCAAAGAAGACACCTTGACCTGTTATGATCTGATGTTACTGGCACTCTCTGATCTCCGAGCATCAAGTAGCCTAAGGCCTTCTGTTTGTAAGTGATAATGTACAAGAGCAGGAACCCTTGAAGTCCAGAAAATTAGGGACACAATTAGCTCTATAGCCTACCGAACTGTGGCAGTGTCAACTTTAAACCAGCTTGAAAAAGAAAACAAAGAACTAAATTAGAGTTTTCTTCCTACTACCAGGGATTGAATCCCGGTATGCTCTGCCTCCAAGCCTCATCCATACCCCTTTTTACTTTTTATTGTTGAGACAAGATCTTGCTAAATTACTCAAACTTGTACTACTTATGCCTCAACCTCCCAAGTAGCTAGAATGTGCACCACTGTACCCAGCTCAAATTAGAATTGTTCCTAATAACCACTGTATTTATGGCTTGTTGCATCCCAAGAAATATGCATTCTCATTGAAAATTGTCTTAGTGGTGGCCGACTGCTTAGGTTCTGGTACAAATACTTAACCAGAATCTGGCAGGCTACATAGAGCTATTAGAGCTAATTTAGAGCTAACCTAAGACTATCGTCCTGGGAATCTCTTCACATGGTTTCTACGGGGAAGGCACTCTAAACCAAAATAATTCATTTAGACAGTAATCTATTGGCAAACAACTCATGTATGACTTATCACTGCCTAAAATATGTTGGGAGCAGCATGTGAACTAAAAAAGAAAAACCAAATAAAGAAGTTAGACACTAACTGCAATTTAGGTGTGCCATTTTTTCTCCGCTGTTTTAATCTGTTTTCCTTTTTTTTTTAATTTGGTATTTGTTTGCTTTGGATTTCTTGAGACTTTTCTGCAGTTTTTTATTATTTACTAAGTTCTCAATTATATTACCTTAGTAATTTCCCTCAAATGGATATGTTGGCTTAATTTTCTTCATCAGTGTGAGCCCACATTAATGTGTCATTTTCATTGATTTCTTTTGCCTTTAATTCATTTTCCCCCTATTGTTTACCCTTCCAAATTTTGTGACTTTATTTTTTATATCTTTTTTTTTTTTTTTTTTTAAGGTTCTCACTATGTAGTTGAGATTGACCTGGAACTCATTATGTAGCCCCACAGTGATCCTCCTGCCTCAGCCTCTCGAGTGCTGGGATTACAGGCATGATCCACCATGCCCAGCCTTTTCCCTACCATCTTAATTAGGCTGCTGGTAACATGGATATATATATATATATATGACAGAAATACACAGAAGTATACAGCATAGCATGGTGGCTCATGCCTGTAATCCCAGCACTCGGGAGGCTGAGGCAGGAGGATCACTGTGAGTTCAAGATCAGCCTGGGCTACATAATGAGAGCCAGGTCAGTCTCAAATCTACATAGTGAGAACCTGTCTCAAAAAAAAAAAAAAAATGAATTGAAGGCAAAAGAAACTTTATTAAAGTCAAAAGAAATCCAAAACTTTATCACTTAAGGATAATGTAGAAATACAATGTTATATAAAAACATTTTCAGTCAATCATGATAGAAACATAATAATATAGCCTCAAATTTTTGTTTATGCCCCCCAAATTCCCCTAAAAGTCCCCCATTCATATTTTTTCCAAAGCTTTCTAACAATGAAAACTTCCCTGGAAGCTGACCTAGAAAATTCTTTGGCAGGAACAATAGTTGATATCATCTTCTAGCTAAGGCAAAATTCCCCTCGTTTCCCAAGAATATATAATGATGCGTTGATGACACTTTGTGATTTCACAGAACAAGCAGCTGGTGTGTACCACAGAGAAGCACGGTCTGGCAAATACAAGCTCACCTATGCAGAAGCTAAGGCGGTGTGTGAATTCGAAGGTGGCCGTCTCGCCACCTACAAGCAGCTAGAAGCAGCCAGAAAAATTGGTAACTGACTTGACAATGATTTTTCTACTTTTTAAGCCTTGGGGCATGGGGTCAGGGTACTCTGCCTTTCCTATACTCTAGTTCTTTTGAATAGTACTCTAAGCCCCTATTACATCTTTGCTCTCTGGCTTCTTCCATACCTTTTACCTAGAGCTAGAAAGGATCTAATACTAGCGTCATTATTGGGGGGTCACAATCCACTGAGAACTAATAAACAAAGAAAAAGACCTTATTATGTCAATGTCATGGATGCAAATTTCTCATTAGCTTTAATGTAACTGTCATTCATTTTTAATATTGTTCCATCTCTTTGTCTCCTTAGCATAGGTTTACTCAGCTATTAAATGATGCTAGCGTGTTGAATTTTATGAAGAAATTTCCCTAGCACTAGAAATAGTGAATTTACAAGCTTTTCTCCCAATATATATGAAACATATATAATATATATTACATATTTTTCCATATACATTTTTTAAAAATAGGATCTTGCTATGTAGTTCCAGTCTGGCTTTGAACTCACTACGTAACCAAGCATCCTTCTGCCTCAGTCTCCTGAGTTCCAGATCACAGGTGTGTGCCACCACACTTGGCTTCTTCCCAAATATTTTTAACAAGAAGTGAGAGAATGCATTTGTACTCTAGGATCAAAAGCTAGAGACCTGGGAGTGACGGCACACTCTTATTGTCCCATGCTCCAAAGGGTGAGGCAGGAAGATCCTGAGTTCCAGGCTGAGGACAGGGATAAGCAGGTTATAAGACAGCAAGAGAAAGAAAGCTGAGAAGATGATGTCAGCGGATCTGAAAGCCACAGTAATTAACCAGATGGAACAACTTGTTTCTTTACACAAAAATGGGCTGTTGGCATCTGTGCTGGGCACTCAGGAGAATCAACCACTCCCACAGGAGCTCCTTTGTGGGCAGAAAACTGTCTGGCAAAGCTTATGCTACTGCTGTGCGTTACCCAGGGTGAACAGTTGTTCTGTATATGAGTGGGGGAATCAGTGGGAGCTCACCGTGCCCGTGGACACCAGAATCTGGCACCATAGCTTCACATGAACAATGTACAAGCTTGCCATCCTGCTGAGCTCAGATGCAATTTGGTAAATATATATATTGAATGCACAGATGCAGAACATGTAGACATCTAGGGTAGACAATATGGTACTACACTGTCTCAAAGGTCCCAACTGCTTATCTGTAATCACAGGTCTGTGAGGGGAATGATTGATGCCAAGGACAGAGTCTTTAGCAGCAGGCCTGGAGTCCTGGGCCACACACCTGTAACCCCAGCACCCTATGGGGTTGATAAAGGATCGCAAGTTCAAGCTCTGCTTAAGTAATTTATTGACTTAGTGAGAACCTGTCTCAAAATGAAAAATGAAAAATGTCTAGGGATGTAGCTTAGGGCAAAGACCCTAGGTTTGATCCATAGTAACACACACACACACACACACACACAAAATCGCTCTTGCCTGGTACCAGCAGGTACCAAAATAGCCTCTGAAGCTGAAGCTGAACAAGAAAAAGAAGCTGAGCCTTTGTTTGACATTTATGAGAGAATTAATTCTCATTCAAATCTTATTTGTTTTTTGTTTTTTGTTTGGTACCAGGGATCGAGCTCAGGTCCTTGTGCTTACAGGCAGGCAACAGCACCACTGAGCTGAATTCCTGGCTCCTGTTTCTTATTTCTTGAGACAGGGTCTTGCTGTGTAGCCCAGGATGGCCTTGAAACTTTATGCAGGCCTGGATAGCCTCAAAAAATCATAATCTTCCTGCCTCATCCTTCCAAAGTGATGGGATTATAGGAGTGTGCCACCACAACTGGCTATTACTCAAATCTTTAAATTTTCGGGGGGCAGAGTCTTTGTATACTTCAGGCTGGTCTTAAATTCACTATATAACCCAAGTTGGCTTTGAATTCACATCAGTCCTCCTACCTCCACCTCCAGAGTGTTGCAGGTGTGTGCTACCACACCCAGCTCAAATCTTCAAAATATACTGACATCTTAATTGATGCTGAAAGAGAAATGAATTAGATTACCACCTGAAAAAGATTTTTTTCCAAATAAACTCAATGCGAGAAAAAAAAGATTTTTTCCAGAATTCATACTCATTTCAGAAAGTATCAGATAGTAGTAGACCATTTGTGAAAAGAAGACAGCTCTGAAATTGGATTGGTTTTATATCTACAGTCTGATCCCTAGTCCATCTCCATCATTTTTTTTAAGCAGGACCACTTTCTAGTAAAATCCACATTATGTGTATTCCTTTTTCTTTTTTCTAAGGAAGCCATTTTCCTCCCTTATATGAACTGGATCTGGGCAGCCGAGAAGTTGCTGGAAGTGGTGATCTTGGTTATGGCCTTTCCCAGCCAACACTTCAACCTTCTCTCCTCTTGCAGGGTTCCACGTGTGTGCTGCAGGGTGGATGGCCAAGGGCAGAGTTGGGTACCCCATTGTGAAGCCAGGGCCCAACTGCGGATTTGGGAAAACTGGTATTATCGACTATGGAGTCCGTCTCAACAGGAGCGAAAGATGGGATGCATACTGCTACAACCCACATGGTGTGTTTAAAATAATAACGTAATGTTTTACAAGAACAGTTACACACACACACAACAGAAAAGCCACAACAAAACACTTACTAAGAAGTTGTTAAAAATAAATAGATGAGGGTCGGGGATTTAGATCAGTTATTCCGCTGCCTGCCTCGCAAGTGTAGGGTCCGGAGTTCAATCCCCTGTACCAAAAAAAAAAAACAAACAAACAAAACAAAAATAAACAGATGGTTGGGCATGGTGGTACACAGCCATAACCCCAATGCTTCGGCGGCTGTGACAGGAGAGTCACAAGTTCAAGCCCAACTTGGGCAATGTAACAGCTTAGTGAGACCTTGTCTCAAAATTTCTAAAACAAAAGCTTTTTTAAAAAGAGTTGGGGATGTAGCTCAGTGTGAGCACCTTGTGTTCAATCCTTAGCGAGAGAGAGAGAGATTCATCTTCCTGAAAGAAACCGATGTGGTGATGATAATTATGAACAATAACTACCATGTTTAGAGTGCTTATGCTGTGCTGGATACTGGGTTATGTTTCCTCACCTCCACTCTCACTTAATATTCTCAGCTCTGCCAGAAGCTATCTGTAACTAGGTTAGCGATCAGGAGGCTGAAATTAAATAATTTACCCTGAATCAGACAGCCAATAGTTAGTAGGCAGGTAGGATAAGAAAACACTTCTGTGCTAGGGAACTTCCTGCAGCAAAGAAGGAAACGCGCGCACACACAGGCACACATGCATGCATTATAAATCTGTCCTAGTCAATTAGCTAAAGCAATAAAGTGATGCTACCAGATGTTAACTGTTCAAAACTACCCTGCAATAGAATGAGGAGGACAGGGGATTTACTTCAGTGGCCCCATGCCTCTCTGAGAGAAAGAGGAAAAGGAGACAAAATAAACAAACTCTTTCCTTAATTTATTTTTACATATAAATGCTTAGACTTCCAAACAAGGTAACTCTGATTTTGTGGTTTGACGATTATATTCTGCACATACTAGTTTTTGTTTCTGTTTTGCAGTACTGGGGATGCAACCCAGGGGCAAGTTCCCATTGAGTAACATCCCCAGTCCTTGCTTTTCGTTTGTTTTTTTGTGGTACCAGGGATCGTACTCAGGACCTTGTGTTTGAGAGGCAGGCAGTAGAACCACTGAGCTAAATCCCTGGCCCCCTTCTTGCTTTTTGAGACAGGACTTCCCTAAGTGGTCCAGGCAGGACCAAACTTGCCTCAGCCTCCCGCAGTGCTGGACTAGTTCCCATTACACAGTTATATCTTTATTCATATTTTTCCACAGCTGCTTGAAATATTTAATGGGAAAACTCATTACTATAAAGAGTTGCTCTTTGTTCACGTTCTCAGAGGGAAAATATACTCTTCTATTTGCATATATTGTGCATAACAATGTTACAAAGTGTTATATAATGTGTTACAAATCATTTTGGCTTTTTTTTTTTTAAACTATACCAGGGGATCGAACTCAGGACCTTGAACTTGCGAGGCAGGTGGTGGAACCACTGAGCTAAATCCCTGGCCCCTTTTTAAAGTTTTTTTTTTTTCATTTTGGCATTTATGATCTGGACTATGTACAAGTGGAATCCCATTTGGATCTGCCTTTAGAAATTCTAGCTGGGAGGGCCAGGACTTAGCTCAGTGGTGCCGCTGCCTGCTTCACAAGCGCAAGGACCCAAGTTCGATCCATGGTACAAAAAAAAAAAAGAGAGAGAGAAAAGAAAAGAAACTCTAGCTGGGCATGGTGGCACACTCTGAGAGACTAAGGAAGGAGTATTACAGTTTTGAGCTCAGTAGTTCTGGTGATTTAGGGAGAATTTGTCTCAAAATAAAAAATAAAATAGAGCTGGGGAGGTAGCTCAGGGTGAAAACCCTGAGTTTGATCCCCACTCTCAGAAGAGAGAGAGAGGGAGTAAGGAAAAGGAGCCCTATAACATAGTGGAAAACATAGTGAACAAGGTCCTGAGCTGGATCCCCAGTACTCCCCCAAAAAGAAAGAGAAGAAAGAAAGAGAGAGAGCAGTGAAGTTCTAGCATCCTTTCACAGAATTTATTATTTAATAATACTAATTATTGGAGGACAGTCTTTCAGGTACATAACTAACCTGTATCTCAAAATTATGTGTGTTTCTTTTCTTTCTCTTTTTTTTTTTTTTTTGGTACAGGGGATCAAACTTGGATTCTTGCACTTGCAGGGCAGGTGCTGCAACCACTGAGCTAAAACCCCAGCTCTTAAAATTATGTGTATTTCAAGTAGAAAGAACGTTGTTGCCTAGCACTATTTTCTAGTGCCACTTAAAACATACAGGGGCCAGGAATGTAGCTCAGCAACTCAGGACCTGATTTTGATTCCCAGTACCAAAAAAGAAAAAAAGCAACAAACAAACAAAATAGAGGACTGTAGCTTCCAAACCAGTTTTTCAATATGTGTTAGGTTTATTTAGTCCTAGATAGTACTAAACCACTGTATATTTAGTCATTAGTAATACATAAAGCTTCCTGCCGCCTGTTCTTTCCTTTGTTTTTCTTTGGTATATTTGTACAGGCAACTCCTTTTTTACTCTCAAGAGTTACTTGTCTTTCCAAAAACATTCTGGTTCCTTTTTTGCTTGATAAATGGTAAAATCTATGAGCTCCTGAGCAATCCTATCCATAGGTCAAAGTGTAGGGTAAAAAAAAAAAGACATGCTAATGAAAGTGTCCTCACAGTTTTTTTATTGTCCTTTTATAAGAATGCAATCTTAACCTACTACTTTTTTGTTTGTTTTTGGTACCAGGGATTGAGCTTGGGACCTTGTGCTTACAAAGCCGGCAGCAAAACCACTGAGCTAAATGCCCAGCCCTCTTAAACTACTAGTTTTTAATAGTTACTTCCTTTTATTAGGAAGGCTGGATGCTATCTATTCAGGGAACATTTTTGCAGAATTCTAGGAGGCTTGCTCTCACTCAATTCTCAACGTATTTAGCTTACTTTGGGATTTAGTGGTGTGTTGGTTATGTACTTAGGTTGTGGTTTACTGAAAGGATGTAGTGAACTGAAGTAGAACAGTCCACCAAAACCTAATTGGGATGAAAAGCAGTCATAACAGCATTCAAAAGTAAAACAATCATTACTAGCCAATATTATTAGTTATTATAATTAACTTGGAGGTGATTGAAATCAGGAATAATAAGGCCATTAAGTGTTTAGATGTAAAATCGTTCTTTTCAAATTTGGAATATGTACCACAACACTGACTGCCTTTGGGTATGAATGTTTTAACCAATAGACAGTTCTCAAGCCTAGTCAGGTTATGAATCTGTCATTTTAAAAATAAGGAATACATACTGAGAGTGGTGGTGTATGCCTGTAATACCAACACTAGGAAGGCTGAGGCCGGAGGATCGCCATGAGTTCAAGGCCAGTCTAGGCAACACAGTGAGTCTGTGGCCAGCCTGAACTACACAGTGAGATCCTGTCTCAAAAATAAGTAAATAAATAAATAAATAAATAAGGAATGCATAAGGCAATGACTGTATTACCATACTCTACAGAGGTGAATAGATATAATCACATATAATTAAATGAGTGCCAAAATTACTTCAGCTTTCTTTTTCCCCTTCTTTTTTTTTTTTCTCTCTTTTGTTTTTTGGTTTTTGCTTTTTGAGACAGGATCTCACTATGTAATTCAGGCTAACCACAAACTCATTGTGCAGCCCAGGCTGTCCCAGAACTTGCAGCAATTCTCCTGCCTTAGCCCCCTGAGTGCTGGAATTACAGGCGTCACCACCAGTCCCAGCGCTAGTTCAGCATTTGAATTATTTTCCCTAATGTCATATGCCAAAGATAGAATTCTATAGCACAGTGCAAGTCACCTCAAAAGCATCAATGTCATTGTTATAAATACATACAAATTATATATCATGTAATACCTCATTATATAATAACACTAGTTTATATTTGCATAATGTTCTTGACTTATCATCAATATTTTATTCCCAAAATAAGCCTGAGAGATGGGCATAGTTGTATTTATTTTACCAATGAAGAAAATGAGGAGTAGGATCATCACAGAGCTTGAACTATATATACTTTACTATTTCCATTGCTTCACAGCCTTTCAAAATGCTATTTAGCTTTGAGGAAATGTTTCCTTAACTTCCACACATTAAACATTCTAACACAATTTTTTAAAATAGGGATTTTTGTTTTGTTTTTCAGTACTGGGGACTGAACCCAAGATTTTAGCACAAAGCTACATTCCCCAACCCTTTTCATATTTTGAGCCAGGGTCTCACTAAGTTATAAGGTTGCCCAGGTTGGGCTTGAACTTGCCATCTTCCTGCCATGGCTTCCCAGAGTGGTGGGGTTGTAGGAATGAGCCCCCATACCCAACGAAAACGTCTTAAAGGAGAATGTCCTTAGAAAAAGCTCTGATTAATCTAATTTTTTAAAAATCTTGAAATGCTACCCAGAGCCACCTCTCCTACCACATATGCTTTTTTTTTTTTTTTTTTTTTTTTTTTTTTTTTTTT